AATTAGCCATAACAACCAAATCGATATTAGAGTCCCAATATAGGTCAATGCGCCCTGGCGGAAAAACTAACCATGGTATCGAAAAATGTCCCACTGAAATACTAAAAATGGCCCATCACGAACGATTTACATTAATATGCTTTCTTTTCTTTTGAAATAATTTTTCCCCTTTAAAAATACCTTGTAACGAAAGTTTAAATTACTTTACCTACTTCCTAAACCAATCAAGTTTCAGGTCTATCTATAACTACAAAAATCTATTTTGTACTTTTATTATTACTTAAACCGAACAAAGAATCGATGAATATTATTACAGCTCAAAACCTATTTGGTGCTTCCGTCGTAACGAAATAAATTTATTCTAATTACACCAATACCAATAATTTTTCAGAATACACTTAGGCAACTAGGAAAGCAGTGCTGCTTTCTTAGCGGCTAAATAAATGTTGAACCGGATTCTGCAATGCTGACTGCTGAATTCATTTGGAATTAGGGTGGGTATAATTGGTAGCAGAAGTTTAGTTATGGTTTACGATTGGTTTAAAACATGTAAAGGACGATATACATACATGTATATATTATATCTTTTCAATTTTATCACCATCACTTTGATTACCTTATGATGTGTATTAGTTTTTTTGATTAGTAGATAGGTGCCTGTATCATATTTGATGGTGATATGTACTATGCTACATACCCAGTTAGGAACTAAATATATTTAATAATTTAAACGTTAATGTGAAATTCATTTAAATTATTTCCCACTACAAATTACCTTAAGTTAATGAGAAAAACTAATGTTACTCTCATTCCATTTTGGTCTAAAGGTTTAAACATTTACATTTAGGTACTTGCTTTCTCTGTTGTTTTTCAATTTGACTGGGATAGATTGGTGTTTCATAAAAAAATGATATAAGTCTACTTACTTACTTATAAATTGTTCTTACGTATACATATAAATATGATATGTCAATAATTGTAACAAAAATTAAAAATGACGTGAGTGCCAAAATTGTGTTTCAATTTAAGTAAAAACGGATCTACGTATTATTTTTGTAGGTAAGTGTTGAGATTTGTGCCAATTCCCTACAACCTTACAATTTGATACTGTATCTTTTAACAACAACCAACACGTGTCTTTTGAAAAAGATTCTCACCCCACAATACCACAGCTGCAGGGATAGCTATGGGAAATAAGGTGATTTAAATGTCACGCCGGAAATAAATAAATTTCATCCCCGGGGGCTAGAAATACGCAGTTTAAGTATTCTGTCAGCTTTAATAATAATAGTAAACAAGTTGTCTCCCATGGGCGTTCGTTATAAAGGGTTAATTCTCTTACTAACAGAAGCAATAAGGGTCTAACATTAAACTTTAAACCAGCACTATAAATTATTTACTTACTTACACTTAACGACCAACAGTTTCAAATCGTATTTCATAGTCGACTTGGGCAATGTTATTGTCATTAAGAAATATGAACTTGGGTTTATGCCAAATGAAGACAATAATAGTGGAAAAAAGAAAAATGAAAAGAAAAAAAAATTTTCATGTAATCAAACGTTTCTAATACCATACCATAAAATATTTTTCGTTACATTTTCAATACCCATGTATTTATGTGGAAATTCAGCTATAAAACTCTACCTGAATATACCGTCTTCTATTTCCTTATAATATGAAATGATTGCAAACGTATAATCAATCCTATTTAGATTGTAAATTACTCAAATAAAATACTTTTAGGTGATACATGGAAGAAATAATAAATTAATTTTTTTTTTATTTAAAGAGTTATAAACAAGTAAACTTCCCTATTTTAGTACATCTTTAAGAATCTAAAGTTGATCTGAGTCAACGTTTCAAATACAATTGTCTTTTTGCATCTGGTTTATTGCTAAAATGCAGTAAAATGGTAGAAAATGTAGAAGCACATAATTATTTATAAATGGTAGAATTTTATGACCACTGATTTTTATTTTGTGCCAACTGAAATTCGAATGAAATCCGAAAAAGACAGTAATAGAGTGACTACTGATCGCCAAGAAAGAATAAAGTCATTACCCAAACAGTGTTCTTTAAATATTTAAATTACTAGATTGAAAAGTTGTATTGAAGATATGAGAAATAATTTTCAGGCTTTTTGTTCTATTGTTTTCATATAGGTCCATATGTACATATATATTTAATGCAATATACTGGTAACTTGATTGTTGTGATGGATATCAATATCCCATTAAATACAATCGATATTTAACAAAAGTTAACAATGATTTCGGTCTATAATGTTGATAGATACTAAACATTGTATAAACGTACACGAAAATGCTGTGTCATTTTCCTCAGAAGCAATGTGATGTTTATCTACTTGCAACTAAATACTTGTGGATACTATGTCCTAAAATCGTTATTTTCTTCGTGTTCTTTCGTATCTTTTTTTGGTATTCAATCACGTTAGTGAAATTAACGATCTTACCAACACCGCATTTAATAATGTAGTTTTGAAAATGATTGATCGTGCGGCATCTTCACAAAGCATTTTTTATTGTCGCTCGCCTATCTTCTTCAGACTGTTATGTAACGATAAATTGATTTACTTTCTGGTACGTACCGATACACATATGTATGCATGTCTGCGTACGTAAAAAATTGTTGTTTTCATCTTTTCATTTACTTTAAAACAAAACCGGAAATCAAATTACTTGCTTTCTTATTAGACAGATTTTTTTGCTTAAATAAAGTGTACCAATAGTCCATAACAAAAGCCATTTGCTTATTATTGAAACTGTACATAAAACGAAACTATCTATAATACGTTTAATGATTAATGCGTTTCGCATCATTTTTTCTTAATATAGTTAATTAATCTATATTGGCCTCTTTCATCTGTGTAAATTATGCAACACAATGAACAAAAGATGTTCACAGCGAATCAGATAGTTAATGTTTAAATTAGAGCAATGAACAATTGCATATGAGTTTAATATAGTCCAGTCAAAACGATAAATGCTTGCAAAAAATATGTTCAAAAATCAAAAGTACGGTGTATTGTATACATTTATATACAGGTTAATATTATTAAATGTCTAACTATCGGTGTAAGAATTTTTGGAATCAAGCTAACTAGTTGTTTCGGAGATTACTTACTTCCCTATAATATTAGTATATACCTATTAGTTTTGATTGCAAAATAGTTAAAAAACGTTCCAAAAACCCGTGTTCATAAATGATATAAATTTATTTAAGGCATAGCCCTTAAGAAATTAAGAGGTTAATTATAGGTTAGTTAGTTACTGAATACCTAATAACTTAAATAACAATAATTATTTGTTTATCATGACCATGGATGCTAGACTGCAAGCTATTTTAAATTTCGTGTCGAAAGTGCCCGCCTAGAATTCGGGTTAAGTGTTTACATGACGATACCACGTGAGGAGTTTTGCAGACGACATGTACTTATGATGGCCTGTTAATAAATAATTAATAAAATAGCACCCTCGTCGACGTAAGACGTTATCCGTAAGGACCGCCATTATTGCGAAACCAAAACGCCACATTTCGACGTATAGCGAACATAAAAAAGTGTGGATTCTTATAGTCCAGTATCCATTATCTTCATGCTGAGAGAACCTCTTTAAGGATTATTGACTGATTTAATGTAAATAGCATCGGATAATGGTTTTGCCGGGTAACCGGGTACCCAATATTTCACATTTTATATTCCGTGAATTATACCTACTAAAAATCTTATTTATGCTTTTTATTGGCAGACGCAAAACAAATATAATAGGCCAAGTGAAAAACAAAATTAGCCGCTAAATCGATCTAAACTATCTGCTGCTGCATCTTTTTTTCTTCGTTTCTTCAAAAGCGGTTGACTTGATGGCACGCCTCCTCATTAATGTCCACCTGTTGTTTCGTACCTTTATAAATAAAAAAGACAAGGATAACTGGACCAATTGGTAGGAAAAAAGAGTGCGAGAAACATAATTGTTTGTTTACATGGCCTCTTGGCAACTTGTGCTATGCTATCTAGTAGTCGTGGTGTAGTACGAATACTGACGCGTTTTTTTATAATCATGTGTACGGGTCTATTTGCTTTTGAACGTGTATGTGTGTGTGTAAATGTGTTGTATGTGTATTTGTACTTGTACTGATGCAGGTATTCTCTCAGGTTCGTGAGTGAGATTAAAGATTAAACCACCTGACGAAGACGACCGATCGACTAAATAGGGAAAGAAAAGCTTGTTAAAATGAATTACGACCAGTCACAGGCGGGTGATGTGAGTTAGTCAAAGGAGACACTTTTAATATGCTTGTATACTTTGAGTAACTTAAATAGTTTAAGAGTAGATTTATGATATGAAAAAGTGTGAAAATTAAAAATTAGTGAACAGTGAATTTTCATATACTTTTGATAGTAAGCAGGAAAAAATTACAGGCAATATTGCTTACTTTAGAGGTTGCACCATCGATATTTTTAAAGAATAGCCAAGAATATGTGCTTGGCGTGGTAATCATTTCTTCCCATAGTTTTAGTGGTTTGAATAAAAAGTAAGTAAGATAACTAAACCCAATTGATAGCTAAACAAATCAACCAAAAATAATTTTTTGCTTAATGTATAAAAACTTCGGATGTGCTTACACATTGCATCGTTGCAAAACTTATTGACATTTAATATTGTTTAAACTTTGAATATACTTACAATGTAAAAATGAAGCCTATTTGCGATGGTTGTAAAATATGTTTCAACGATTTTAGCAAATAAAAGTTTGCCTTTCAAACTTTCCTAACCAAGTACTTTTCTGAGTATTTGAAATGTATCGTTGTAATATGTGAAATAGGTATCCGCTCGAAGAAAAAAATATATACTACGCCACTGGTTTGATGTGGACCCATACTGGTTCAAAGGCAAGTAACTGAATCGGAGGTGAGGTGGCTATGTGAACTGTGTAGAATCCATCTGGCCGAGTTTAGGGTTTGGTTGGTCGAGTCTTTTCAGTTTCAGATTTACAGTAGTAGTCGTATTGGTATGTGTGTGGCAGTAGACTTGCGTGGTGTGGCAAGCGAACGAGGAAAATTTTAATTTTAACTTTCGATTCCTAACATAACAAACAAAGGAATGTTAATTGGGAAAGGTTGTGAATACTTCAGCGATTGTGTTCATATCAGCATGTTAAAGTTTAATAACAAGTATTACCGATAAGTGCAGTTTATTCGAATAAAATCTACCGTGATGTGGCTGATGATTCACAATAACTCGACGCTTTTACTTTTGTAGTGTTTGTGTTCAGTTTACTAAATATCTGTATAGTTTTGTGTGTTTCTGTAACGGTTTGTTGAAGATAGTTAAAAATCGTAATTTACATTAAAGTATATAAAAAGTATGGCGTGATCGAATATAGTAAATGGTATGAAGAAGCCTGTTCATAAAGCGATGGATATAGGAAACTAATCTTACTACAGGTGAGTGTAGTACCTTCGTAGGTATCATGTGTGCTTCTTACGATTGGTATAGTTTATTTATATATGTAAATAAACGTAATAAGCTATTATAATGAAACGTGTATAATAACATCGTTATTTTTGAACATTACCATAAAAATGCCATGTAGGTAGGTATGATATTTATAATGGCGATGCTGATTTTTATTTAATTGTTTATTAATATTTTTTTGTTCTAAGAAAGGCCCCATTGAAATATATCTATCCATATATTATACTATTGTACTACTTTTAGCAGTGTTTCTCAATATTTTTGGTTCCCGGTTGTACCATTCCGAAGAATAGGTATAAGTACCTATGTAGCAAAACATTTTTCAATGGACCTTCGTTCCCTCCAGAAAAATGGGAATGTATAGAAAAACATTCCGTACAAATCAACAGTTTAGTCGTTTAAAAGGGGTTACTTTTATTTGTTTAATTGCACTGAAATATTCATAATTTAATAGCAGTTTATTTTTAGTGTCTACCTATCAATAAAAACTATTAACTTATCTTTGGTACATCTTTGTACAAAGTATCGCATGTATTGGTTAAACCGTTAAACTGAGCAAGAGAAATTTTTGGTAGATTGGTGAACAGTTTAATCTGAACAGACACCGTACCTAAACTCTGAACCGTCCAAAGTGGCGGCTCATGTAATAAAACTGCCAACAATAGACCGCCTTTAGTCATGTCTAAGCGCAATTACCACTTTATAAGACCTTTCAAACGAAACCCATTTTATATTCTCTTATGGACTTGTGCCTACAATGCTCAAAATAGTTTAAAAATTTTCGGAAGGGTGGATTCAAATAAATTCTACTATGTTGTATCGAAATATGGGAATTGAGCAGATAGTACATAATTTTTGCTGAATTTTACCTACAAAGATAAACTCAAAAGGATTAAATAAAATTCGGACCGTCCTCCTTATTACTGTGGATGTTACCCATTCGACAAAATAAGGTTATAAATCTTCTGGAAGTTTTGTAACTTCAGTCGCCACTTTAGATGACTCCGAGTTTACACAGTCATAGTACATAGGAAAGTAGCATCTTTAATTTCATCTATTTGCTTTGTTAGATTTCAAACTAAAAGTTGAATGGGGATCTATGTAGGTATAGTACTATGTACCTACAATGGTAAAGTTACAAGAGCATACTATACTGACTAACTGGGTAGTTTTACTAATATTTTTAATTTCACGTATACAAAATCATGTGGTACCTAACTGATTTTGTATACATGAAATTTAAAATACGATTAATGCTGTGCACTACCTTGGTTTCTGAAGTTGAAGATGTAAGTTGTTTATTTTTATTGTTCACAATAGTAGATACATACGTACATATGTAAGTATATCTGCATAAAAGACAAAATTTAACAGTTTGAGTAGCAGCTCTTTTTATCTTTGATGTGATGTTTAATTTGAAAAACATCCCATGCGGGTGTCAAGGAAAAGTTTGGTATGTGTCTGGTTTGAATTAATTGCGTTATTTCGAGTACTGACTGGCTACAAATTGTTGTCGTTGTAATTGCTTCTGACTTTTAAGAATTGTGAACTTCCGTCAACTCCGTTTCTTAGAAAAATTTACCGAACCAGATGTCTTTGTAGGTTCATTTGTGTGCTTTCAAAATGTTGTATTTAGAAAAAAGGCACCAAAACGCTTCAAACTAGAAAGTTTAGCCGGTTGAATTTACGTCGTTGAAATTTTGACATATGAACAAACATTCGCATGTACACATGTGCTTCCGGAATGACTACGATAAATTGCCTATACCAAACGTTACCGTCAAAAAATAATGAGGTTGAAATAAACGCCAACGGTAAGTAGGCACCTAATACAAACAAAATTTTTTAACAGCTTTAGTTTATTTTAATTCTAAAATATGCCTTTGATACACAACTATTCTTAAATAGCAATATATGTATCTTCGAACTAAATTAAAATTGCTGGATGGTGCTTATATACATATATATTATAAATTATATTAGTTTGTGCAGGGTATACCATTTTCGGCACTTCCCGAGTATTTTTCTTATTTTTAAAGATAGAGGGTTGCGGTTTTCGCGACAGCGTGTTAAAGTTTTGTGAAAATAAAGATGGCGTCAGCAGAATTTTCAGATCCTTTTTGGTTTTGGAAATACAGGGTGGAGTTGAATAGTAATATCGCAGTTATATCTGAACTTATCGAAGAAGTTAAAACGTATTCTTATAGATTCTTTTTCCGTAGAATCTAGTTGCGTAGTAAGGTTTTTTCTAGCACACTTTTCATTTTTTCACTGTGACAGACGTGTTTTTTTAAGTGGGACACCCGGTACATTATTTTTTATTTTTATTAGGCATAATGCGGATTTTCCAAAAATATATAATTACATACAGTTATTTTCAAAAACAAGCTCATTATTTAAGATTTTCTAAAATTTGTACCTATAATAGGTTAGGATGTTATAAATAAATTGAAGGGTTTGTTATTTGTGTACCATTCAATACTCAATTTTATTGTTACTGTTTTTTTATATTTAGCTGTGGTACTGTCAATCAATAATACTAAGCATTCACATAAAATTTTGTACATATAACCTTGTTTTCTGGAATTTTTACGTTGTTTTCATTAGGTCCCTACTTAATTATTTTATTTAATGTTTTTATAATTTTTATTATCAGCATTAAATAGTTACACTTCTTTAATTATTACTTCTTACCAACTGTACTGCAGGAACTATCGCTGTATTGGTTATGACTCATTTTTCTGTAATTAGAGTGTTATAAGTAATTAAGAGGTTAATTAAAATATAATTTATTGAGGAGACTGCAATGTTGTTTATAGGTATGCATTAACAGTTACTAACTATTATACAGGGTGAATCATTAATTTATTTTAAGGTCTCTTCTTTGAATCTCATTATTTTGAAAAACTTTTAGACAAAAGTTGTACATTTTCAAAAGGGAAAATCAGCTGCTGACTTTAAACGTAACCTTGACTATGCAATCTCTAGGTAATTTACAGGTCGTATTTTTTTTTAATAGCAATGCGTATTGTTGATTCCAGCAATGGAGGCAGCATACCCTTGGTTTGAATTTAATTTTTCTGTCCGCATTTTTTAGGAATTATGAACAATCAAATATTCGAAATATCTTGATCAAATTTTATTTATTATTTCCGAAAATGTTCTAAATAAAAGTTGTATTTATGTATGTTTGAAGATTTTTGACCCCAGCGAGAAACTTTGTAAACGAAAATAACTTTGAAATTGATTGCTCATAATTTCTCATCAATACCGACTTAAAAATAAAAATCATTCAATTTAAAAAAATTTGTGTTCATTCTGTTGCAAGGGGTCAAAAACCTATGCATTCGCTTTTAAAAAAATGTCTTGACCTACAAATGACTTTAAAGATTGAGATCGGGATCACACTCAAGGTAAACAATAGATTTCCTGTTTGAAAACACAACTTTTAAAGGGTATTTCCGATTATAAACTTTTCCGCTCTTTCTGCCTCCTCATTTCTAAAAATGATTTTACTTGCAAATAACTCGGATGATTAAGATAAAACACGCCTAAAACTTTTTTCATGATAATGATAGGTATTTTATTGTATCAATATATATAGCCTATGACTTTTAGTGTTTATAAACATTATAGGTTTATTTTAACGGTTCTAACTCAACCCTTTCGTTGAAAATATATGAGTTTAATATAGTCCAGTCAAAACGATAAATGCTTGCAAAAAATATGTTCAAAAATCAAAAGTACGGTGTATTGTATACATTTATATACAGGTTAATATTATTAAATGTCTAACTATCGGTGTAAGAATTTTTGGAATCAAGCTAACTAGTTGTTNTAAAACTTTTTTCATGATAATGATAGGTATTTTATTGTATCAATATATATAGCCTATGACTTTTAGTGTTTATAAACATTATAGGTTTATTTTAACGGTTCTAACTCAACCCTTTCGTTGAAAATCCGCCAACATTTTTATTATTTTAGTGTATAGGCAACCTTTTGAATGAGACTTAATACGGTTTAGGACTTTGATGGAATGCCCGTCAGAACGAAGACAAGAACCATTAATCGTACTGGTTTTGCCGAGTCCCCGGTTACCCGAAAAAGTCACTATTCGATGTATCTCTAGTTTAAATGCTTTTCGAAGTTGAAAATATCGGTCCTAATGTTAAAGAGGAAGAATAATTAAAAACAATAAAATTTTTATAAATGAAAGAAATTAAGTATGTGTATAACTGTATCATCTTCAGAAGTACGTCTTCTGTCTACAATTGAAAATTATTCAAAATAAAATCAAATCAACGTATTGATCATGAAGAAGAAAATCTGACTTAAAAACAGAAAAACTTGGTCAAAGCTAAAAAATACTGGTGGTTATTTGCTGCTGTTGAAGTATTTTAAGCATCAGTAGCAGCAAATACCTATCAGATGGCGATACACTGCCTCAACGTGGATATTACATAAACTCGCTTTTTAGAAGCTTCTTCAGTGGAGTTAGTAATTTATCGAGAGTGTAAGATCGTAATCGCGATTCGCGTTTGTTCTAATTAAGAACATAAACGTTAACTATTCTTATTACTCACAAATCACTGAAGAAAAACCCATCATATAATTAAAATTGCGAAGGAATGAGAATTAGAGACGATATTCCGTTAATAAGTGAAGTTGAAACATTGAAGGAGATCATGGGAATCTGCATGTAAAAATGCTTTACACAGAGAATACAAACATGGAAAAATTTGAAATATGTACCTACACAAAAGAATTTTTAATACAAATATTTGAACGGGTATTTACATTGTATTAAAAGAAAAATTGTTTGCAATATGTTCATTTTGGGAAACTCGGTAGTCGTGAATTGAAACTGACGTGTAATCGTATTCATTATTTTAATTTCCTTTTTTATTTTATTTTGAGAAGTGAGGAGAACTAGAGGACCTTTCAATGTGTTATATTCCGACAGGAC